CAGCTGCTCGGGCCGGTGGCGGATGAAGTGGGTTGGGGGAGTCACAGGACCATGTCCCATGGACCATGCCGAGGGAACCTAAAGGCTCCGAAGGGGCCCATAACCGGCCGGGTGGACGCAGTTTCCTTACAACAAAAGCACAACAAAATTGGATGCCTTTGGGCCTACGGATGACCAAGAGCCATTGCTAGCAAAAGTAAAGAGTTCATAAGTAAACGAAGTTCATTCTTCGCCGACAGGAAATTTTGCGGGGGGAAAATTGGGGGCTCATTACGCTGTCTAGAGGCATTACGCTGTTGGCTGCCTGTCCCTATATGTCCACTTCCCGCGTCAATCTGATCGCTAAGGAGCTTTCCACGTTACCCTTGATCTACTCCCATTTTTTCGTCGGGCCCAGTGTGCTATTGGGAAGCTACCTGCCTCCACGCCTGAGCACTGTTGATCAATGGGGTTTTCCTCCACGGATTCTTCCCATTTGCCTGAAAGGCTATGTGCACTTCCCGGGGCCGCATATGCCAGAGTACACTCAGCTGCTTAGGGGCCCTTCGTATAAATTTCAGGTTCTTTCCACTGGCTTGAAGGACCTTGTGCTGTTGCTAGGGCTCCGATAAGGTAAGGCACGGAGACAGTCGATGCTCAGGGGCCCTCTACTTTTGATCGAGGGCTCTCCCCCTTTGGTCTCATTTGTGGCTGACTTTTCACTCCTATCGAGACTCGTGTTGTTAATCTGCCCGTGCACTCTTGACTGCTCAAGGGTATTAATTTAAGGTATTGAATAATTCCCCTTTCCTCGGAGGGTCCTCTGCTATGACCGGGTCTCCGTATGTCGGCCTGTCGAAACACTACCGATCGTTTAGTGGCCCACCGCGTTGGCCTTGAGTTCTTTTTGCTTGCTCTGAGGACCCTGTACTTGTTGAAGGGAGCCACTTTGTTGGCCTCCTGAGGCACCCATGACCGTTCAGGTTCCATCCCTATTGGCCTTGGCGCCTTCGCCTCTGAGCAGCAGTCGAATACGCGCCGATGAATTTTTACGCGCAATTGCCGAACGTAATCCTACATGTTGGCGCCGTCGTAGGCATCATTTCCGCTGGCTATTGAGTGTGTCACACTCATTTAGATTTACGGTCAACCTTCACGGGATCCTCAATATCTTTGTAGGGTGCGGACGCCCTCCCCCTGGCATTAGAAACTACGGTACTGTACGATATGAAAAGCCCAAGTCATAATTTATTCCGCTTTGAAGTGAACCGAGTTGACATCATCACGCCACGCCGATAGATCATGAAGCCACTCATTTAACAACGGCCGTCGTCGGGATTTGAACCCGGGCTTCCCGCGTGCGAGACCAGCACTCCAACCATGCATCCACTGGAGATGCGGGCCCGGCGGCCGAAAATTCGTGATCAGAATAGAACTGGTTCGGAGTAAGTTGATGGATTTCGTGATCGTTTGGTGTCTATCACGCATACAGCTGACTTTTCGGGCGGGATTCTGCATTTTTGCACTTGCTTCCCTCCAAGACTGCCAATCTGCGTATGCTTGACACGCACAACCATCTGGAAGATTTTTGGAGGGTGTATAAGCCCGGTGCGTAACTGCCCTCTGTTTTGGAGGGTGTATAAGCCCGGTACGTAACCGCCCTCTGTTTTGGAGGGTGTATAAGTCCGGTGCATAACCGCCCTCTGTTTTGTGGGGGGTATAAGTCCGGTGCATAACCGCCCTCTGTTTTGGAGGGTGTATAGGTCCGGTGCATAACCGCCCTCCGTTTTGGAGGGTGTATACGCACTGCCTATCGGGGGTATGTGAGAGCGATTTCCAGATATAACGGCTGTCAATTGGCGCTAAATCAATGTTTTGTAGGTACGATGACGTAAGCACACCAGGACACATTGAGGAGCATATTTGTTGAACAGAGAATTGTCCTGTTTGGAGCAGCCTGGTCTTTTCCACTTAAGGTATACCAATATTTTTTAAGTGAGCTTGTTTCACCATATCTGATACTTGTCTCAATATTTTCAAATGTGGACCCCCCCCCCCCCCCCCTCCCTTTAATGTACCTTTCATGGCATTGATTCCTTCATGGCATTGTTAGCCAGCGCTGACAATGAAGGTGTGCCGCCCACTTGTGTACTTAAAGCAATGAACATAGAGGGGCTCATGTTCAATGAAAGTGCGCGTTAGTCGCGGACATGAATGATTGCATGACATTCCAGCTCCTACTGGCCAAGCCAATTACCTCCACGGATGTTTATATTATCCATTGCGGCGTGGTTGTCTCGAGATTGAGCCCATGTCGTATCCCTTCCCACATGTACCAAGAACTGTGTGCTCCTAATACCTCCCCTGAATGCTAGGTCACCCGAACGATATCGATTGAGCGTGAAATTATGTCGATGTGGCTCCGTCCAGTGTCCGCACAGTCCTGACGCGGAGCGCCGGTCGGGCGGCGCCCGGCAGCCGGGCTGGGCGGGGCGAGACCGGCCGCCTGACGCGCCGTTTCACATTCGGCGCGGTGAATGCGCATCAACTGCCCGCTGTGGATTAGTTAAAAAACTTACTATCCAAACGCCCTGACTCTCCAAACGCCCTGACTCTCCAAACGCGCTGACTATCCAAACAACCTGACTAGTCAAACAACGTCTGACGAACCACGAATCTGAATCTGACGAACCAAACAACCGAGTCAACCCAACAACCTGACTACTTGACAACCTGCCTTATCAAACAAATGTAATTTGGGCTGTTGGATGGGAGAACTTCAACCGTGCACTATCCACTGTAAATCATTCCGGGACATCTCGTGCTGTGCCGATGCAGACTTGACAGCGGACTGGCGGTGTAGACGGCTTGTGCACAAATCCGTATCGCGTGGTGGCGCACTCAAGCGTCGCCTAGTGTGACGTCACTCCGATGCCGTGACGTCACGACCCGCAGGTCACATGGCCTGTGCAAAAGGTGCTGTGTCTCCATTGACAATTTAAAGGGAGTGTTCGACATTTTCATGGGGTTTTGAACTGAAATAGTCATCTTGAGGACCTTTCGGTGCTGTTCACAATCCTGCCTGCCTTAAGACCTAAGGCTCGCTAGTTTCCTTCCCACACGTCCGCGAAAATGGGGAAATTTGTATTCGGGAGAGTATTTCGAAGTCACCTCAGTATTCACGACGTCACAATAACGTCATTCAAATCTTGCCATTCCTTAAGCCATGCGGCGATCAAGGCCAATAGGATATAATTGTCGAGGCGTTCATATCTGGCATTGGTGAGCGCGATTTCCAGATATAACGGCCGTCAATTGGCTCTCAACCAATGTCGTGCAAGGTACGATGACGTAATCAAACCATGACGCACTGAGGAGCATATTTACCAAACAGAGAATGGTGTTGTCTAGAGCGGTCCTTTCTACTTAAGAAGTACACCAATAGTCATAAGCGAGATTGTTTCGTCATATCTGGCGCATCATTTCATCACTATCTTCAGCTGTAAAACATACCCTGTAAGTGGGGTTCGGCGCGGACAGCAGCTACGCCACGCGGCCGAGCGATGCGAACCGCGGAAGCCGCAACACGCTGATTGGCTCTTGTTGCTCACCGAACAGAACGCAGATTTGAAGTTTTGAGAAGAATGATTGCCTGTGTGTCGACCAACGCGGTCATTTCAGACAACAGCAATTTCTCGCGCGGCAATGCCTCGTGAATCGTGCGAAAGCCATTTAGTCGTCTGCTGCGCCGGGCGCCCTTCGTGTCGTCTCCCATCGGTCAGGCCCGTTTTCGTCTCGGCCTCCAGCGAGCCTTTACCAGGCGCCTGCCGGGACCGGCCCGGGAGGTACCTGCCTAGCTGCCGCACAAGGGCGGTGGCGCTGCTGCGGGTCTGGGTCCGGGTCCGGGTCAGGGTCCGGCCGCTCCAGCGCCGCAGCGGGGGCATAAGGAAACAATGACAAAGGGCTCGACAATCACTGCCCCCACCAACGGCGCTCAGGTAGTCCGCCATCGAATAGTCAGTCCCATCCCCCAACCCCAGCCCCCGACGGCTCCCCCCCCCCCCCCACACACACATACACGGCCCCGAGCAGACCTGGTACTCGCTCGCGACGGCTGGTCTGGCGACCCGCGGTACCGGAGGCATGACACGCGTGTCTGCCAACGATGAAAGCATGATGTTAGTTCTGACAACATACAAGAACGGTGGGGAGAACGAGGCAGTTCTGCGTATCGCGCTTCTGCACCATGCGAAAGCCGACTCAAACGAGCAGTACCTGTGTGCGTGGTTGGACGATGCCGGTGTCGGCGACGGCGCGCCTTGTCACCAGATCCTGCCGGCCAATTCCGTCGGAGGGGGTTGGGGTCGGGAGGGGGGAAAGGCCACTGAATATTCGATGGAGGAACCCCTGTGCACCGTCGGCGAGGACAGTGTTTGTCGAGCCCATTGCTATATTTTGTCTGACGCGTGAGCGTGTCCGTGATACCCTGCGTCCCCAAGTGTCTTCAGCTAACCATAGGTACCTGCGTGTTCTCAGTTGACCATGTTTCCTCGTGTGTCCTCATCTGACCCTGTTTCCTCGTGTGTCCTCAGCTAACCCTGTGTCCCCCCCCTAACCTAGTGTTCTTAGCTGACTCTGTGTCCCTGTGTGTCCTCAGTTAACCCTGTGTTCCCTTGTTTTCTCAGCTGACTCTGTCCCTGTGTTCTCAGCTGACCCTGTGTCTGTGTGTCTTCAGCTGACCCTGGGTCTTTGTGTGTCTTCAGCTGACCCGGATGCTGATCGAGACGTGTTACCGGGCGCTGCTGAACATGCTGACGTCACGCGCGGATGAGACCAGCCGCCACCAGCGGCTTCACGACAAGCAGCTGCGCGTCGAGTCCATCCTGGCTACGCTGAGGGAGCAGGGCGCCGGCGACGACCAGCTGGCAGAGGTACCGGCGCTCACGCTGACACGCTGACACTGACACTGACACTGACACCGGAACTGACATACACGCTGACACAGACACTGGCACCGGCACTGGCACACACCGACACTGACACCGACACCGACGCCGACACCGACACCGACACCGACACCGAAAGTGGTGTGCGGGACCGGGACCGACTGGCAGAGACTCGAGTGCTGGTCGTGATGGGCTGAATTGTGCTGCGGGACCAGGGTCCCCTGTCACGCGGGCTAGAGCGTGCTGCGGGACCAGGGTCCCCTGTCACGCAGGCCGCGGCCTGGGGAGCCGGCAGAGCCTGCACTGCCCGGCCACAGTGTGACGTCACTAGTAAAGGGTGTGATAGCGCAGGGGCAGGGGTGGGTTTTGCGGCTTTCGCGTTAACATCCGAGTTTGAATCGCGGTGCGTCGTGGCTTTGGGCGCTAATAGAAGCAGCGTGGTTGCTGGTGCTTCACGCAGGGATTCGTCATGGCCACGTCGCGTTCGTCACACACAGTCACGCACCCTGTGGTCAGGGGTGTGCCACGATATGGCACCTGCTGTCTGGTGTGCAGGCTTGTTCCCGGTCAAGCAGAACCATGTTGCCGCTCCCCTCCCTTCAATCAGTGCCGCATGATATAAGGGCCGTCGTCTTGTGACCGGGTATCCGAATGTGGTTCTCGTGTCGCTCGGACATTCGGCGGTCTCTAGAAGCGTTCGGTTAAAACGATGACAGTGGTTTGGGCTCCACTAGTTTTTAAGTCGCGTTCCAGGCTTCGTTTCTCGACCTGCAACAGTATCTTTGAATTCAGACCGGCATGCTGGCGTGGCCTGTTACGGAAGCCCAGGCGTTCAATCAGGGAAAGTTCCTCTTCATGCCAACATCTGCGATTTATGAACGTGCTTTTGATTGACCTTAATCTGGAGCGGGCAAGCGGACTACAATTCCTCTCTAACTTCGATAAAGATGAAACTGGCTCAATCTCCGCGGACCCACGCAGACGGGCGGGTTTAGTGCCAATCGGGTGCGGGCCGAGTAAGGGCGTACGTATCGGGTATCACCGTGCTCGGCATCGATCTGTGGGGCGCTTGGAATCCGAGCGTTGCGTTTCGAAGCAGGTTCTAGATTTGTATTTGTCGAGCGGCATCACGCGATTCAGTTCCAAGGATGCGAGAACAGCCGGAGCATGTGTGCCTTCCAAGGAATCAGAGCGTGTGGTCATGCTGTACGTCTGTGTGGACGGGACTCAAAGCCCGCTCTTGGCGTGGTCGCGCTGGCTGTCTGATCGAACGTGGTTGGTTGCTCACAAATGGGCATGTCTTTTGCCGCTTTACAACTTTCGATTCAATGAATAAGCGTCTATTAGATCGTAGCAAATCAGGAGGGCGATTGTTTATTCAAGCCTTTGCAGTGGAAAACAATCAGTGGCTAATGGATCTGTCGGAGTGCGATCCTCAGCGTGTCTAAATCCACATCTATATTGCAATAAGTGACTATTGAATATGGATCTGCTGTGTCCCGTGACGTCCTGATTCGTCCTGGGTTATTCGAGCCAGCAGGTGCTAAGCCCTTTAGGATCGGCTCCGGGTTTGAAGGAATTAAAGAATTATTGAACTCGCTTGGTTATCGGTGACTCGGTACAGCTTCCTTTCAAAATCGCCACCGACTCCACTGATTGCAGAGCTAGAAGAATGGTTGTCGTCCACGAGACTTCCGGCTGTGATATCAAGTACTCCGAACGGCCAAACGAATCCTGAATAGTTAACGAAACTCCGAGTGTCCAGAGGGCTGGGAGGATCCAGCTGTATGACTGGTAACCAGACGAGCCCTTGAACGGTCAGAAGGCCCTCGGTAGCCAGGTGGGCACTCAGGCGCTCACTCAGGCCTCTCATTGGCCATAAGTGTCCTGGGCGGCTAAAATGGCACATGGGCAGCCAGAGGGATCCTGGGCACTGAAAAGCCCTGAATGAACAACATCCTTATGTTGACATACGGATGAGAACACTCTTATTATGCTATACGAATCCCCTTCAGGCGTCCAGAATTGACTTTGATGGGCCAGAGAGGCCAGAAGTAGCAAAGCGCTAGAGGACTGGAAACCGCTGGTGGCCAGGAAGGACCCACTGGACGCCGGACGGACAGGGTGACCTCAGAGTAATCAGGTGTGGTCTGCTGAGCAGGCCGATGTTATGGTACTGCGTGAACTTTTGTCCCAACCAGCGATCTTCCTTTGTCTCTTATTCAGTGCAATCGTTTTCCTTCGTACTGTGCGTGCCCAGACGCGTCCCCTGGGGTCCGTGGACCTCAGGGACCATTCCTTGACCTGGACCATTTCTTGACCTCGGGACCATCCGCATTTTAGGCCCTATTGGGTCTGGTGGATCTGGAGTTGGACCTAGGTCCGTTTGGATGTCCATGGGACCTTTATTCACGATTTTCTTAACACGGCAAAAACACCACAAGATAACAAACGCATGCTCATTTCAGTGAACATTGATATAGGCTGGGCGACGCCTGTCCTGGTGCATTTATGCCCAGTGATACGATGGTGGCGAAAACAAGGTCACAAATTACTACGCTGAAGAGTTGCCTGAGAACAGTATATGCATGCCACTTTTGGAAATGTTCTTACGCGCGAAATTCTACCTTAACAGTCTCTAAGGTGTGCGTGCAATCTCCAGCGTTGAGTACATTCACATGGAGTTAATATGGTTTTAATTTGCCAGGTGGATGTGTGAAAAATATGACATTTTAACCAGCACAGCACGTAAAATAGTGTTAGTTTCGCCGGGCTCGTTGTGTGAGCGTGTGACAGTTCATTATTAAGACAGTAGTAATAGCCTTATTCCTCGAATAAAATTCAGGAAAATGGAGATATAGGTGGGTTGACCCAACAATATCTCCATTCTTCGAGTTTGTCTCCGATTTATTTCGCTCTGAGGAATGAAATTGTAATTACTGATTTATCCTATGTTAACATTCCTCGGAAGTGCGCGAACCGATGTACACAGTTCATCATCGGTATATTTTGCTTTTGCGTCGCAAGTGGGCGCGAGCAGAGTGGCGCAGTGGAAGCGTGCTGGGCCCATAACCCAGAGGTCCGTGGATCGAAACCACGCTCTGCTACGTTTTTCGCATGTTGCCTTTCATGTGCTTAGGGTTTCAGAACACACAGCATTATAGGTTATAGGCAACCCGACTCCTCTTTTCAATTCCAGTTCCACGGAGACACATTTCAATGGGTCTGGCCAAAAGTATAAAGAGTCAGCTCTTGGTCATGGTTTAGCACTCGGAGAGTTCACTGATGCCGTGTTCGCTGCCTTATTTTCAAAGCACTCAGATTTGCCGGCTACCGGTCGAATAAGGCCTGTCTGTTAAGTGGACGACGGATATGAATATGTAATGGCTTACGCTTTTGGTTGACCCGAGCGTTGCAAAAAACGCGAGCATTATAGATGGTTACGATACTCGCGGTGCAGAACGTGCCTCTAGTTTTCATGCCCACATTCTCTCGTGGTTTAGGCCGCAACTTCCTCCATTTGAAACTGTCGCCGGAAAGTGTGGGCTTGGCCGCTTTCCGCTTGGTCGTTCCATGGCTGTGTGCTTCTGTTGTCAAGATCTAGACCATTCCTTAAAGCTCGTAAATACGCGCGAGCTGACGGTTTGCGCTCGAGGGCGCGTGAGACCGAGTACACACGTCAACCCACAGCTTTGCCGTGAGTCATGTGACGAAAAGCTATCCGTGGTTTCATCAGTACCACTGCCCCTTTCTGTCAAAATGCGTCCGTGTTTGTGTATTTTGGCTGTGTTATTGTGTAACAGTCTAGTGTTGTTGCATCGCGATTTTAGATTGCAGCCCGTTTTGAACTCGCGCAGAGTGCGATTATTGTTCGCAACTTTTGAGTTGAGTTGAACAAGTTGAGAGAGAACAAAAAGTTGAGTGATATGAGTCGCGTTATTGTTCGCAATTAGCGAACCTCACACCTCTCATGCTTACGAAAGTGAGGCTGTAGTCTGTGCGGCGGCGTTGCAGTGATGTTGCGAGAAAAATGCGGCGTTGCGAGAGAGTAACACCTGATTGAACAGCTCACCTGTAAATGTCTAAAAATTGATAAACTCAAAGTCAGTTGCAACTTTGAAGAATTTGTCCTTGTTCTTGAAAATCTTCGTTGCTACGACCCTCATGAATGAAGCTGCGATAATCGTTAACCTAAAGCTTTGCATGGCGCTTGTTTATGGATAGCATGACGGCCAGCCCGGCCGAGCGAGTGGAAAATGTTCTCACTGTTCATGTGAAATTCCCTCCTGACAGGCCTGATATATGTGTGTGTGTGACTCGCTGGCATGTGCAAATATTCGGCGTGCAGTGTTAGTTGTGTCGGCGCTGATAGCATTAATGGAATGCCGTATACAGTAAAGTATGTGTTGGGCGTTGATCAGAAGCCCGGATAAAAGAGCATACGTGAAGTGTTCTTTTCGGATAAAAAACAGGTAGTGTGATTTCGCACTCCACCCTTTTCTTCGGCATTCTGCAGATGTATGGACAGCACTGGTGACGTGAAGCTGAGGTAGTGACTGTCACTGGTGACGTGAAGCTTAGGTGGTGACTGTCACTGGTGACGTGAAGCTTAGGTGGTGACTGTCACTGGTGACGTGAAGCTGAGGTAGTGACTGTCACTGGTGACGTGAAGCTTAGGTGGTGACTGTCACTGGTGACGTGAAGCTGAGGTAGTGACTGTGTCTGGTGACGTGAAGCTGAGGTGGTGACTGTGACTGGTGACGTCATGCTGAGGTGGCGACTGTGACTGGTGTTTGAAGGTTGCCGGTATAACTCTTTTCAAGCTCGGTAGTTTGTTCAAGTTGATCCGGCGACATTCATGGAACCATTGGGAGGGTTGCTGTTAAATGACAGGTGAATGACTTGCCGTTGGGAACGTGCTTTCCGACAAAGGTCCGGATTTCTCACTTCATTTCGGACTTAACTGGATAGCCCTTATTTCACTGGGTCTTTTGCGGGGTATGTGTGCTCAAAACAATACGGGGCTCCAGGAAGGGCTTCGATGAGTCACAATGTGAAGAGATTTAGGGTCGAGTGGTTAGTTAGCCAGGATCACGACTATAAGCGATTGCTTCAGCTGCGCTTTTAACTGCTTGCGTCCTGATCATGCGCAGTAATGACAATGTTGGCCTGGCCTGTGACCGAGCTATGCTGTTCATTGGGCGCTCAGTCGTCACGCCCCGCCGCTCGCGTGTCGCCACGCCTGGCGACAGGTGGTCTCCTCACCGCTCGCCTGTGTGCCACCACGTCCGGTGACAGGTGGCCTCTCCGCTCGCCTGTGTGCCACCACGCCTGGTGGCAGGCGGCCTCCTACCCGCTCGCCTGTGTGCCACCACGTCTGGTGACAGGTGGCTTCCTCCCCGCTCTGTTCGTGTGTGCCACCACGCCTGGTGGCAGGCTGCCTTCTTTCCGCCCGCGTGTGTGCCACCACGTCTGGTGACAGGCGGCCTCCTCCCCGCTCTGTTCGTGTGTGCCACCACGCCTGGTGACAGGCGGCCTCCTCTCCGCTCGCGTGTGCGCCACCACGTTTGGTCACAGGCGGCCTCCTCTCCGCTCTGTTCGTGTGTGCCACCATGCCTGGTGACAGGCGGCCTTCTTTCCGCTCTGTTCGTGTGTGCCACCACGCCTGGTGACAGGCGGCCTCCTCTCCGCTCGCGTGTGCGCCACCACGTCTGGTCACAGGCGGCCTCCTCCCCGCTCTGTTCGCGTGTGCCACCATGCCTGGCGCTTGATGGACGCGGCGTTCCAGGCCCGTGCCTCCTCCCGACCTTTGTTACGCGCCCGCAGCGCCATGGACCTGACCGTCAGCCGTTCCGCGCTGGCGGTGCCGTGCCAGTTATGTCACGTTCGCAGTACCAACGTGAGAACTGTGGCGCTAACAACTTGGTTCTTTTACGCTGGTCGTGAATAACAAACGCTTGGCTCCAGGCGACGCGGGGCAGTGCGTGCTGGCGGTGGCGCCAGAAGGTCGCCACCGCCAGCACGCATTCACGCGTTACGTAATTTATGGATGACCCCTCATATGATTATGATCAGGGCATGCCGCCTCGCTTTTATTTTCAGTTATTGTGACATCACACGCGCCCGATTTGATCAATACACCAGTTTTTTTCGAAATCCCTCGCTCTGAAAATCTCAGTATTCCAATTTAAAGTGGCTGCTCCGGCGGAAAAAAATATCATGGGACTCCCTGTTCAGCTTTGTGAACGTAATGCATCTCTTTCGCCTTGCTTTTTCCAACATGTGCGTTTTGCAGTGTGTGGAACACTTATTCGGTGAAATGTTTGCGTAATAGATGCTACGAAAGCTTGAAACACTCGGTGTAGAGAAAGATATATGCGAACATGAAGCTCTAATTCCGCGAATTCAACGAAATGTTATCCTATCGCTTTGACTTCTCCCCTTCCTTCTCCCTATGGCATTTACCACATTGGCTCTTTTCGAGGCGCACTGTGGCTTTGGGAAACGGCGTACCACACGGTCTACAGTGGCACACTGTTTCAAAATTCCACCGACGCGTTTGTCGGCAACTGGCCCTTGCCGCCCGCCGTACGCATTACAAATGTTAATTTACACGTCACTCTCATCAGCAGAGGTGCATTTTTTAAGCCCGTAGGCCCACAATGTGTCGGTTAAAGCAGTTCAGAATTGGTGCCTCGAACCCATGACAGCAGAAAACGGCCCTTAGCAAATTCTACCGTTGTCATGGCGACGGCGGTCACGCAGTTGCCGTGGACTCAGGGTCCGCTCTGGGGCTTCCAAGGAAGGAAGAATTGTGGTGCTTGTCACAAGCCGTTGACAGCGCAAATTGGACCCGAAAATAATCAAGATTTGTGTCCTTGTCGTATCTTGATGATGCTGCAGTGGCAGTACGAGTGATACTAGTAGACGTAAACGGTCCTGAAGTTTCACCAGAGTGTGTTTTTGACATGTGTCCCAGAGGTGGAATGCTCTTTAAGTCGTCGACTACGCAAGTAAGGATAATCATGATGGGCACTTAAGCTAAGCGATGTTACTAACCTGGTGACGGAATCAGCTTATTTTGGGAAAAATGCAAGTTCTGAACATTAACTGACATTGAAGGCTACTTTTTTAAGCTTCTAAAGCTAATTCACATTAAAAGCTAATTGACATAATGAATGTCGTAATAAAGTGACGAAATTGACCGTTTAAAACGGACAATAAAGTTCTAAATCAACCCGGCACGGCCTGGACGCGTGGTTCGGCCGCGGACTGGCGCTGACCTGCCCTCGTCCATCGACCGTGCGGTGATTGGATAATGAAGCCGGCTGTTGCCGAGACCTGGCCGACGGCGGTCAGGTAGCACCGCTAGTGACAATCGACCCCGACGGCCTCTGGCCGGCGTGTCCACCGGGTCCGTTCCGGCACGGACGAGTGGTTGTATTCGCGTCTGTGTTTGTAATATCCTGCATTTGTGTTCATGGCTGCGATATGTACGGGTTCGAGCGGACAGCGACAGAGTCGCGTAAAATTCATCGCTGCGCACAACTACTGAGTTGCTAGCGTGGCTGCCCCGGCTGCAAGTCGAGAGCCGGTGGAATCATCCTGTGACAGGTATTGAACCGGGGCAGCTCGGTCCGAAGCCGAACACGTTCCACTACAACGAGAGAGAGAGAGGGAGAGGGAGAGGGAGAGGGAGAGGGAGAGGGAGAGGGAGAGGGAAGAGGGAGAAGGGGATAGGGAGAGGGAGAAAGGGAGAGGAGAGTAGAGAGAGGGAGAAGGGAGGGAGAAGAGAGAGAGAGAGAGAGAGAGAGAGAGAGAGAGAGAGAGAGAGAGAGAGAGAGAGAGAGAGGAGAGAGAGAGAAGGAGAGACGATGAGATGAGAAGAGAGAGAGAAGAGAGAGAGAGAGAGAGAGAGAGAGAGAGAGATGAGAGAGAGAGAGAGAGAGAGAGAGCTAAATCCACGCACCGTAGAAACTCAATATTGGCGCGAACTTAGTATATCGCATGCATATGATGCGCTTAGCTCCCATTCACCGTATGTCGTCCGTTCAGAGCCAATCCATCCATCCATCAATCAGTTAGTTACATAATTTGGGGCGTCCATGGCGTGAATTTTCAGTGTTCTGTATTAGGGACGTACATAAAAGTACTCAACGCGCACAAGTGCAACACACCCTAAACATAGGAGGGCGCCAAACATGCTTTCGTCATGACACGGATAGCAACAGTTTCAATCAGTCTGGGTTACAAGAGGACCAAGCTCGGCGGACATTTCACATCCACGGGTAGCCATTGCTCGCTCGCGTTGTGCGACTCAAAAATGAGCGCCTACCAAACTCTGTCCGTATGCATGGAATATGGAGCTGACGGCTTACAGTTCACTTTGCGCAACGCTGGGACACACCTGAACGGCTGATGATGGCTAACCGAGCAGCTGGGGGGCGCTGTTGCCATCCACTAGTTTGTACATGTATGCATGGGCCCTGGTGTTGATGTCGGTTGTTCGCCCACGTTCCTTTGTTGTGGTCAGAGCCGGACATCATGACTGTCACGTGCAACCTGTTTGGATCTTCTCTGACAGTGGTGTGCAGTTGATGGTCAGTTCTCAACACCATGACTGACTGTGACTGTGGCTGTGATCGTGCCCGTGACTGTGTTCGTGACTGTCCGTGAATGTGTCCGTGACTGCTCGTGACTTCCGTGACTGTGTCCGTGACTGTGTTCATGACTGTCCGTGAATGTGTCCATGACTGTGCTCGTGACTGTGTTCGTGACTGTATCTGTGACTGTGTTCGGGACTGTCCGTGACTGTGTCCGTGACTGTTCGTGACTGTGACCGTGACTGTGACTGTCCGTGACTGTGTCCGTAACTGTGTTCGTGACTGTGTCTGTGACTGTGGCTGTGACCGTGACTGTGTTCGTGACGCCGTGAATGTATCCGTGACTGCGCTCGTGACTGTGTCCGTGACTATGTTCGTGACTGTATCCGTGACTGTGTTCGTGACTTCCGTGACTGTGTCCGTGACTGGTCGTGACCGTGAGCGTGACTGACTGTTCGTGACTGTGTTCGTGACTGACCGTGATTGTGTTCGTGACTGTGTTTGTGACTGTGTCCGTGACTGTGTCCGTGACTGTGTTCGGGCAGGTGGAGGAGGCGCTGACCGAGCCGGAGCGGGCCGAGCTGGCGCGGGCGGCGGCCGTCACCGACAAGCTGTCGCTGGCAGAGCTGCAGCTCGACCAGACCCTCTTCCTGCTGCAGACCTGCCTGAAGTACAGTGCCATGAAGTGACCACGCGCAATATACGGCGGACGGCAGCGAGGGTGTTTGAGCTCAGACGGCGGTGGAGCGGGGCCTGGGATGACGATGATGATGGACGCATCAGCCGCCGATGTTTGTGGTGTCCCAGTTCCACGGCCGGAGGATATTGTAGCAGGTTAGGCATGGTATTTAAATCAATATCATAACTCTTCTACACTTCAGATGTTCGAACAGATTCGGGCAGTCAAACCGCTTCTCAGGAAGTTACATGGGCATGCACTGATTCCAACAAAAACTTAACCTGTCAGAAAATGTTGGTTATCATTGTTGACAGTTTAAATTGATACGGTATGTTATGGAAGAAGAGCCGGCCGCATGCATGTAGCTTGCATTGATTCCAACATCAGCCTCATCCTGTCGGAAAATGATGGACATCATTGTATAGGACTGAAATGGCTAAGGCATAGCATGTGGGTGGAGCCGGTCTCGCGCATGCAACATTGGTAGCCCGTGGCCACCGCGGAGGTGATATATACGCGATCAACATGCACCACTTGGCTGAATTTGACACCAAAATCCTCATCGCGTCGCCAATTTTTGCGGAGCTTTTTTATTTTGGTGTCAAGAATATGTCAAGTGGAGCGTATAAGCTGCATTTTCCAGGTCCTGTAATGGTTTTGTAATGTGTAACGGCTAATGAGCTAGCATGCCAGTCAGCGCCGTAACTTGTTTGCCATAGTAATAATGCAGTACCTTTGCTGGCACGTTTCACCGGGAATATTTGTCTTTGGCTGACATTGGCGAAACCATGCTCTACATACCTTGACCTTTTGGTGTTATCCTCATTGTGATGCGTTGTGTTGAGTACTCGCCGTATTGAATTATGCGCGCGTGGAGACACGCTGGCGCTACATATTTCACCAAACTGCCACAAGGAGCATTTGCTTCAGAGAAATATAACAGTTTGTTTCTCGATTACCCGAGAATGTATACATTGTTTATTTCTGAGAAATTGATGGCTACCGAAGCCCCAGTGCAGATGGTTGAAGTTACGTTTCCAGAAATGTGAAGCCTTTCCACGCAGAGTTCAGGTTTGAATCGGAATCTATTGCGATCATCGATCCTTTCCTTCCTGCGATCTGCGACCTGCGATCCTTTCCCTCCTGCGATCCTTTCCCTCCTGCGATCTGCGATCTTTCCCTCCTGTGATCTGAGATCTTTCCCTCCTGCGATCTGCGATCTTTCCCTCCTGCGATCTGCGATCTTTCCCTCCTGTGATCTGCAACCTGTGATCCCTGCCCAGCTGCGAAGGTTCCGCTTGGAGTCCACAACATTGCAAAAAGCTCGACCGAGAGGGCATTAAAGGAAAATCATCGGCGAGGGTGACCTCAAAACTGAGACACCCTGTCTGCCCTTGCCGCCTACGAGTAAGACTCAGCGGCTCGGGCTCTTGTACCTGCCGGCAAATATGCCGGTGCCAATAATACGAGGCACGCTGGTATTGCTAAGGACGTTTCCGAAAAGGAAGGAAAGAGGTGTGGCATCTGGGCAGAGGACGCGAGGCGAATGAATGCTAAAAAAGTCGGGGCTGGTAACGTCCCTTTTAGTTGTAAGATTGTCACGCCTCGTCGCAACACCAGCTGAAAACCTGCACTCTCAGATCATCTGCTTCTATAGCCGCGTCTGACGGGCGTGATGACGCCGCCGTCTGTGCATGGCAAAAACCACATGTGCCTGTGTACGACGAGCTGGGCAAGGTGCATGTTGACGACGTCAATGAAGGAGGTCGCGTCCAAGCGTGCGTGTGCATCGTTTCTCGAGTTAATGACAGCAGCGCACCTCGACTCGCAGTTCACACGCCACCTCACTTGCGCGAGGCTAGCGTACCATACGATCGGTGTCTGTTGATAGCGGAACACAGCGGTAATTGCGCAACGCACGCGCCTGAGCGACCGCAGGCCGGTTTGCCCATAACAGTATGCCCCGCCCGACACGGCTGAGGCCCGGGGCGGTGTCCTAGACTGGACGGAAACCCGTGCCGGAGGCGGGACCGGTTTCGGGGCCATGCGTGTCATTCTGAGGTCGGTGTTGGGATCTTGCGAGCCATGTTCTGAGGCCGGTGTCGGAATATTGTGTGTCAGGTGTTGAGACGGGTGTTGAATCCCATACGCCATTCTATGAGACCGGTGTCGAGATCCTGTGTGTCATGTTCTGAGACTGTCATCGGGATCACGGATCATGTATGTCATATTCTGAGAACGGTGCCGGGATCCTGCGAACCGTGTTCTGGGACCGGCGTCAGGATCCTGTGCGTGGTTTGCTGGGACCGGTGTCGAAATCCTGTGTGTCACTTGCTGGGACAAGTGTCGGAATTTTTTGTGTTAGTTGCTGAGACCGGTGCCGGGATCCTGTGTGTCCGTTTCTGGGACCAGTGTCGGAATCCTTTGTGTTAGTTGCTGGGACCGGCGCCGGGATTCTGAGTGTCAGCTGCTGGGACCGGTGTCGGAATCCTTTGTGTCAGCTGCTGGGATTGGCGCCTTCGTTCCGCACGTGAGAGACTGGGTCCCGCGTGTCTGTGGTCCACGCCTCTGCGCCGCTTCGGAGTTCGCCGAGCGGCTAAGTCTGCATCGGAGTTTCATGTGTCAGACGCCCGTGCCGTAGTGCGGTGCACGAGGACCGAGACGCGTGCAGGAGCCCACGCGACACAGTCTGAGCTCACCGGCAGGCTTCCCGTGCGGATATCAGCGTGCGATGTTTATGCATCACCGTCTGGCATCTGGGATGCTCGACGATAGATCACCAAGACACGTTTGCCCAGGGAGCTAGAAATACTTTTGAACTAGGGTAGGAGTGAAAAATTCCACCGCAAAAAGACCGTGCAGGAGTGAAAAAATTAATTCACAAAGACGGAACTTATGAGCCATGACTGTTGCTTCAGCAAACAAAGACATCTATTTCAAGTTGTCAGGGGCGTAATATCATAAACCTGACAAAACCTTTTGGTTTTTAGCATCTAAAGCCGCTAAAGCGAAACAATACATTAAAGCATAGTAATTTCATGACAGTTCAGTGAGCGTAAACAATTATTAACACCAATAATTTGATGCTGCACTTTGCGCTTCCTTTCCACAGCACTTTAACACAAAACGAAGCAAAGGAATTCAATAACAAAATAACAGAAAATACAACAAGCATAAAACACTCAAACAAAAAAACCTTAGACTCATACACATCAGCCCATCACCAAGTGGAACACAATAGACATCTGGCTTTTGTTAAGTTGGGGTCAGGGAAAGCAAACATTTTGTCACTGTTTCTTACAAAATACCATGCGTGTTCCACAAAAGTAGCCTAACTATGCCTAACGTAAAGAGGCCTTACTTCATCTCATCCTGTCTAACCTGTTTGTATCACAGCAGCAGTTGTAAGTTACTGATTCTTGCACAATTCCTGTTGCCACTTGCCATGCACTTAGCCAACTTAACCTAACTTAGGGTAGCCCATATGTTGTACATCATCTCATCTCACCTATCTGTTGACAGTAGCGCATATGATAAAAATATGATGTAGCTAATTTTTGGCTGGTTTCAACTTGCATTTTTATTCAGTTCATTTGTGTATGCTTGCTGACACCAGACAATGCTGACAACATACAAATCAAAATATTTGAAATCGCTTGGTGCAACATGCTTCGGGCGGCTGGCGAATTAATCCGATTCATGTATGAAACACGTACAAGTTTGCAGTTGGAGAATCTTGCAGAGAAGTTGGTTAACATTTTAAGCAACAGATGGTTCCTCTAAAGACAATCCAAAAGAAAGGAAGAAGAAATTGGTATCACACTCGTATGATACCAAGAAAAATAAAAGTAGTTGAATAAATATAAAGACTGATGCTTTTCTGGCAAAATTTTTTAATTAGATGATTTGACTCAAAATTTGTCAAAATAAGTCCTTAAGTCGTGATTTTCATCTTGTAAATTTAATTTGGAAGGCATTTCTTGAATCCTTCACTCCTGCATTTCGGAAGTGATGCAGTTTAGTGGTCAAGTTTCCTCGGGGAAAAAGAAATACGTGGAGTAAAATAATCTACCAGGACTTGCTTGTGTTTGCACCAGGCTCTGCTTTCGTGGTGTGGTGGTGAGACGAAAAAAAGGGCACGCGTAAAAGTTTGCATTCGGCACATAGCTGCCGATTGTAATGCATGTTGTAAACAAACCAAACTTAATGCGTGCAAGCGGGTGGAGTCGCTGGGGTTCTTGGGCTTGGGGGTACCTGGCGCCCTTGCTCTGTGCATACATAGACATGATTAAGATGTAGGTGAGGCAGGACATAGCCATAGGTGTCCAGGTTCTGTGGAGCCTCGTTTATGCTTGGTGGTTTCATGTGAGCTCGGTTTTGGATGACATCTGAAAACCTCAGAAAAGGGAATAGGGGTTTGGCATGTGCGATTGCACAAGGTTAGGCGGGAGTGAAAAATTCACATAACATATGGGGAAAAGGAGTGAAAAATTCCTCGTCATACGGTGTTGCTTTACACCCAAAGTCGGCAATTCTAGGACACTGTGTTTGCCATATCTCCGATTTGAAGACATTTGGCACATAACTTCATTTGCATCGTGTACTACATCCGGGCAAAAGTAAGTCATGATTTATAGCTGACCATACGTAGAGGTCCCCTGAAAAGTTGCACGAGGAAATAGTTTGCATTTGTTCAGTGTTTTTTTTTAGATCTGATAAAGCCATTGTATTATTTGAAAGCGCCAATGATCTGCATCTTTTAAAGGTAAGTTAGGACACTTCTGGCCTTTTGTTGTGGCCGTAACACATATATTTTCTTGCATCCACGACCTTTCATATTTTTTTTTTTTTGAATCGTAACTCCTACCCTGTGATGTTTTCCTATTACCAAGGTAGACAGTGAGGTCATGCCCTGTCCCTTAACACGCGCGCGGGTGGGGCGTCAATTTGACCCCAAGGCTTTTTTCCAAATTGATTTCCGAACGGCGTGGCATAACCGCGGTAAACTTTGCATAGTTGTAGGCAACTGAATGGGA